TTCTACTTAAGTAACAAATGTGTGAACTTTTGACACCACTGTTTGTTGGAGAGTCAAACCTTCTGACCCCACCAGTATTCAGTTGCCAGGGCCCTCCGGTGGTTTGCAGCATTGGTTTGGCTCTTAGATGGCTCGCTGGTACATCAAAGCAGACAACCGGGCCTACAGAACCTTTAAATCTTTTTCCTGGATGGTCAAAACCAAGATAAACCACTGTTGTCTGAAAACAACAAAAAACAAAGAGAGAGCAGTGGTGCTATAAGGAGCAAAACAGCCTATTTAATCCATGGCAATTGACTGGACCATTTGGTAGGTTTTTACTTACATAGTACACAGACATTGGTCTGCACATCTTGTTTGCTCCTTTCTGTAGGACCTTCCATCTGAGGATGGAATCCAAATGACTGACTCACAAAGATCTCCAGCATAGCTCAGAATTGTCAGAATAGCTTGCCAAAAAAAGGTGATGAAATCCCTGGCAAAGGTCAAGCAAATGGGGACAGGTAGGCTCAGAGGTAGAACGGGAGGTAGAACGGGTCAGGATCATGCAAACAGAATCCAGGAATGCTAGAAAACTTCTCACGAACAGCTTCAAAATAATCTTGAACTGTTGAATGGTCTCAAGGCTGTTGAATAGAGACTAGAGCAGGTGAATGAGATAAGCAGGGATGCAAACAGGGCGGAGCTATACAGGTGAATGAAATGAGTAATCAGACCAGACAGCAGTGCCAAGATCATTACAGTAGAGGCATTTGTTTTGTGAAGTCCGTAGTGTCTCACTTTGAAAATGTAGCAGGGTTGTGTGTTAGGGATAGGGTCGGAGCCAGCAATGATAAGGAATCTGTTTTTAATTGTTTAATCACTCTTTTTCACTGCTATATTGTTAATAGACTCTGTTATGATGGAAATGCTTTGATATGAAATTAAATTGCCCTGTGTGAACATCCATGGTTTAAAGTCCAAGGTGTTTGAATAAGGCTGTTCCTCCATTTACTTTAGTCTAGGATCAGCTGCAAAGCCGGTAGTTCAGGGGCCGGCAACCCAAACTGTTCACAGAGCCATGATGCACCAAAAAAACAAATCAGGCAACACGGACTCTAAGTGTATTAGCCCACTATAAAAAAGGGAGTAACTGGGCTTAAATATATAATAGTCATTCATGATTAAAACTTTATCCTGGAGCAAATGTCACATAGTAGCATAAGTTGAGGGAGGAGCCACCTCGCCACGGTTTAGGTTTTGTCACAAGCATGAAATGATAGAAACAAAATAAAGGAATCAATGGTGGACATGCTTCTGTTGAGAGGAGTTTGATGAGTCATGAGGAACCAAGCAGGAACTGACATTCATCAGAGCAGATCTCTGTAACCCAGTAATCTCACATTCCGTTACCAGTGCTCTCTTCCTTTTTTGCCTTTGTGATCTATGGCCTGGGACATGGCTATGACGCTTATTTTCGTTGAAAGAAATGTTTACATTTATTGTTGAATTTAATTTATTATACGAATGTTTACAACATTGGAAAACATAATAAATGTCTGTTTGACCTCCTGCACACCATATTAAAATAAACATATAAAAAAGGGAGCCGCAAGGGGGCACTAAAGAAGAAAGAAAAGGAAAAAGGAAAAGCTGCCAACCCCTGCGCTAGTTCATATAGAACAGATTAAACTGACCTCTAAGGACCTGGCACCCCTTGTTGATGACATTTCAACAAGCATAACGGAAACAGAATCCAAGGTGCAGAAACTTTTGTTCCTTAACTCCACATCCTTTTATACAAGGAAAAAGCCTTCCGAACAAATGAGCGCTGAACAAAAAACGTAACAAAAATTCAAAAAAGTTTCTTCAGTCTGAGTGACAGCTATCCCTCGTCCTCGATTGTGGGTGATTTGATATCTGCAGCTTATTCACAAAAAAGTGAGAACAACAAATATAAAGGTTTGTCACCTCTGCTTTTCTTTTTAGATTACATTGGGTTCCGTGTTAAAGAGGCAAGGTCAGATGCTTCAAAACCCCTCGAAACAATGAGCACTCTGCGAAAACACTAAATCGGTTTAAAAACTTTCTTTCACTATGAGCAACGGTCATTCCTCTTCCTTGATTTACGGTTCATTTCTTTTCTCTATGTCATTTGTAAATATGTAAAACAATGGAAAAATAGTTTGTCACACCTGCATCTATGCTGATCTCTCATACAAAATATATGTTAAGAGGTGGATAAAAACCCCTGAAAACTGTGATTGATATTCAAAAAATGCATTCACTGTGAAAATATTTTGAGTAAACATTAATGCTCTTCCTGGATTATCTTTAATATATGTCATTCAGAAAAATATCATCATCATCATCATCATTATCATCATCATCATTGTCATCGTCATCACTTTTAATAGAGACGCACGAGTCCATATGAAAAAATGTAATCAAAGTTATAATACAAGTAAATAACGTGGAATAAAATACAAAATAGAAAAAAAAATGTCAATAACAAATTTACTAAAAGACTGGAGAGCCAATGGTTCCACACTCAGGGCTAAAATCTGACTGACTTTCCTCCTGGGTCTATGTGTAACAGG